TCTTATGGAAAAGATACGGGAAGTTGTCGAAATGGACATCTTATCGGAAGTTATGAAGGACCAATCCCTGCAAAGGGCAACAGAAAGATGGGACTTATTTTATAAATGGACTGAATCAACAGGTAGTAGCTGAATATATATAGTGAAATGAGAACCTTATACACAAGGCAGAAAAGAGTAAATAGAATGATTTTGGATTTGATATGGCAATAGGTATAGATTGGATATTAGTATGCTATGATTTTCCCTTTCCCTCACAAATCCCTTTCCCTCACAAACCCTAACCCCCATGTTCCTATGTCACCCTTTATGTAAAAAATAAAATAAAATTATTTTAAAAAGGAGTGTAAAGAAAGTAAATAGAAATTATTTGCATTTGCTTTTTCAGTATTTCTATATATGTACAAAACGGACCTCTGTAGTATTTCTCCCATGTTGAATTCCTGTTTATGGTGTCAGATTGGAAGCATTAAACCTGCGCAAAGTGTGTGTTATATGTTGTTAAGTTGCACCCAACTTAAGAATGACCTAAGGGGGTTTTTCAAGGCATGTGAAATATTGAAGGAATGCCTTTACCAGTACCACTCCCCCGCCATATGTTTCTATGGCCAAGCAGAGGTTTGAACCCTGGTCTCCTGATTCCTAGTCTAGATGACACTGGCTCTCACACACATTATATCTACTTCCTACTTGTTTATCTTCTGCATTTTTATTGTTCTCCTTCCTCAAATGAGGTCAAGACAGAATACCTGGCTCTGTTTTCTTCACTTTTATCCTCATGAGAACCTATGAGATAGGTCAGCCTAAGAGAATTGACTGTCTCAATGTGGAGACAGCAAGCTGGATCTCCCAAGTCCTTGTCTGACAGCCTAGCTGCTTTACTGCATGAGTTTTGACAGGGGACACAGGGTTATGCACTCCCCTAATAACCTGCTTTAGTCATGTTGAATGGCAAGGCCTGAATAGGACTTCTACTTAATTTTCATAGAATCGCCATAGATTGGAAAGTACCTTGGAGGTCTTCTAGTCCAACCCCCTGCCCAAGGCAGGAGACCTCATACCATCCCGGACAGATGGCTGTCCAAACTTTTCTTGAAAACTTCCAGCATTGGGGCATAACTTTTTACTTGCTCAGAAGGTTCTCTGGATCAGAGGGGGCAATCAGATGAGTATATACCTTACTATTTGGTTCACTTTTGGTGCCCTATTTTCCAGCAACCACATATGTTTTAAGTAAGAGTGGTGCATCCTGCCCCTTTTGCAAGCTGTTCTGTCCCTTTCTGGCACAGCACTAAGGCTGCAGTTTATTTGGTGGAATTGGAATTGCTCCTGATTATCCTGTTCTGCAGTTTGTGTAGTTGCTTAATTCACTCCCACATAGAGCTGTGAGTAGCACTCTCTTTGATGACAACCCTGTGACATATGCAGTGGGTTATGACAGTAGAAAGAACAGTAGAGAAACCCTCTCCTCTGTTTTCCTCTCTAATTGCTATTTCAGATATAAGGATGATGTACTGCTGTAGCACTATGCCACTTCCTAAATTAAGCAAAAAGAAAAGAAAGTCAAACCATCTTTCAAAACATGGCTGTTTAGAAAGGCTTTCCCAAAGATTATATCATCATAACAGAGCAGTTTTTCAGCACTTATATTATCTGTTCTGCCACCTTGAATTTTCAAATTAGTTTTAGTTATTTTGATGTTGTTTTCTGTGTATGTGGACTGATATGTTTGATTTTGGTTTTTCTTATAGCTATTGTATTTAGTGCCTTTTAAAGTGTTGTATGTTTTATTGTGTTGGGAACCCCTCAGAGTGGCCTTGGTAGCCAGATGAGTTGTGCAGAAGTTGAATGAACGAATGAGCCAACAAACAAGCAAATCACTACAGTGCATGGAATGACGGTCACGACAAAAGACAAGGAAAGGAGTGGCGATGTCAGTAATCAGAAGAAGAAGAAATTGGAGTGATCTGAAGAGCTGTCTGGATCCTTCTTGTGGGAGAAGAAATGTCTCTCATATGAACAGAAGGATTCCTCATGTTCGAGATAAAATAGATTGCACCAAAGATACCAGACTTTTAGAGCTACCCTAAGACTAGAGAACACCAGAGAAGCACATTCAGTTTCTGACATCAGCTGGAGGCCTAGAATGATTGAGAGCTGCAGTTCCTGTCTTCCAAGATTTTTTTAAATTTAAATTTTATTTCTAAAGAAAAGACAACCCATCATGTTACAAGTAATAAATACATAGCTTAACAAAGTAAACTGTGATCTTACTTGTTATATAATTTAACCGTTGACCAATTGCTATTCCCCACAAGTCTCAAAATCACATTTACGCCATTCCCCGTTTCATCTTAAAAGAAATATCGACCAACAATTTAAATGCTCCGAATTGTTTTCCAAACCACGTGTCTCAATTTTATTGGCACATTTATTGGCATATTTTATTGGCATATTTTAATAAAGGCTTCCAATTTTCAGTGAATTGACTGTGCCTTATTTTTCCTCTATATAGTTTAACTTTATTAGTCATTTTTCCATCAACATTGTATGCCATATCTTATTTGTAAATGCTTGTAATGAGAGATCTTGAGTGTTTTTCCAATTTCCAGCGATCTCAGATCTTGTGGTGCCTATAAGATTTGCAACTAATTCTTTATTTTCAAGTTTCTCATTTCCCCCTGTAAATAATGAAAATAACAATAATGTTTCATTCATATCTATTTTTTGATTGGCCAGCGTCTCTATCCATCTAATTACCTCATGCCAAAATGCTTCTATTTTGGGGCAAGAAATCCACATATGTTCCAAAGTTCCTTTTTGTCCACAGTTCCTCCAACATTTATCTGATATATCTTTATTAATTCTATGTAAATTTGTAGGATATAAATGCCACCAATGCACTACCTTCAGAACCATTTCTTTCACATATGCTGATATACATTTATATGGGTTTTTATTCCATATTCCTGTCCAGACTTCGTCGGGTATATTAATATTTAAATTTGTTTCCCACAGTGTTTTAGGTCCTCCGCCTTTTCCATATTCTTTTTCAATAATACTTTTATATATTAGTAAGGTTAGACCTCTCTTTTTATTTTTATCTTTTTGGATACAATATTGTTCAAATTCAGCTAATATTCTTAGAGAGCCAGTTTTTTGTCATGAGTGAATAGTGAAACTTTTTATTTGTTTTATTTGTAGCCAATTGGTTTTTATTTGCTTTATTTTATCTTCTATTTGCCTAATAGTGATTGGTTCCACTGAATCAAATAAGTCAGTAATTCTATATACAGTATTCCTATTTGTTTCCACTCCTTAAATTGTGCATATTTCTCTTGATACTTAAACTTCGGGTGATCCAAAACGGGACATAAAGGGGATATTGGCAGGGCCAAAGTTTTACTATGTTTTCACCATATCCTTAATGTTTCGGAAATGAATGGGTTCTGTATCTGTTCTCCTTTTCTAATTATTTTAGTGGTATAAATATACTTATTTACTATGTCCATTTTCATTTCATCTTCCATTTCCACCCAATCAGGATTCTTGAAAGTCTTGTTGATTTGCATAAATTTAATAATTTGGTTTATTTGTGGTATCCCTAATCCCCCTTTTTGACCCCATCTATATTTAACACTATTTATGAATTGTGTCTTCCAAGATATCAAGACAAGAGGGTTGCAACACCTGCTTATTCAACCAGCCACAGAAAGGGCTATAGCTTTCTTCCCTTTCTGCCAGCACAAGTGCTTGGGAGCCATGGAAATCACATATCTACCGGCCACAGGAAAGAGTCACCAATTGATATTCAGGCAAAAAATGAGCTCCATATTTTTAAATATATGATTAGAAAGATTGACATTGTAATCTGGAAGACTGACATTGTAATCCAGAGGTGCCTGCTTCAGGAACTGGAATTTGTCTTTAGAGCTTGATAATAAGAAAGCAAGCAAGCAAGCAAGCAAGAAAGAAAGAAAGAAAGAAAGAAAGCTGCAGTAGCTGCTACTCCACCAGCAATCACCAAGTGATTTACATATCAATTGGACTTTCCTCCAAGGAGTTCCTTCCAGTTTAATTTTGAAGACTGCTGTTACCCTTATTATGCTCAAATGATTCTGGAAAATCAAGTCCTTATTTACTATGATTGTGATTGACCAGGGCAGGTTTTTAAAGGGGCCTATTGTTAACTCATGGAAATTACTGTTTAATCTGGGAAAGCTGTTCCATTTTGCATTATTTTTATTTAAGGTGATGGAAATCTAGTAGCTCCATTAAGTAAATCTTTATCTTTAAGCAAAGCTTTACAGAGCCTTGGGTCCCTTATGGGGAGAAAGGTGGCATATAAATAATTTAAATAATATTAAATAAATGAATACAATAAAATAAAGCTGCAACTCCAGGGGATGCCCAAAGTGAAGAAGGCTCTGAGTTTTATGGTTGCACCCTCTTTGGACTGCTGTCTTGTTTGTGATATATGCCGCCTTGGGTCCTTTTTAAGGAGAAAGGTGGGTTGACAATATTTTAAAACGAGCAAACAAATGAGTAGATAACTTATTATGACATTTTTGGTGTCAGCCTTTTGGTCCCAATTCATCCTTGGCATATGCCTTCCAAGACCTTGACTGCAGTTTAATTGGACCCTTGCGCTAAAAGAGATTCCCTGTCTTAGACTTACAAAGTTTATTGCTAACTAACCTTATTACTGGCTTTGTATTTGTTTTTTGTGTATTCATCAGGAGGGAAGTATCTTCTCCAAAATGCATCCATTTTCATCAGTAAAAAGCAGGCTCTAAGGTTTCTGTCTGGCTTTTTGTTGTATTTACTATGCCTCTTTCCTGTTTTCTCTTTCTAAAAGTGGGAGTCAAAACAACTTGTATATAATATTGAACAGTGCTGTTCTACTAGAATGACAACCCACACCCTTCTTTCCTGTTCTGGTTTAAGCTGTTCACTGGATATTAAGGTAAAATATAGGAAAGACACCTGCTTGTCCTTACCTCACTCACAATGGACTGTATGGAAGAATCGTAAAGCCAGCCGTCTTGGCAGGGGATGAGAGAGATGGTGCCATTCTTGTAACTGCTGAAGGATTCCAATGGATTTGTACAATTCACTTCAGTTGTGTTCCAGTCCACATTGTATCTCCTGCATTGCTGGATGAAAGGATCTCCCTCTGGGACAGTGTGATTCAATTCTTCTTCCAGAGTCCAGCCACATCTGCTGCTTATTTCAGCAACTCCAGGACTCAAACAACGGTGCTTCGGTATAAAACCTAGGAAAACAACCCCGACATAGATTGGGGCAAAGACAACAGAAAGCAAGCAGATGAAGAAAAAGACTCTTTTCTGGAAAAAATCAAATTCCCCGATGTGCTCTAAAATGTGATCCAAGTCTGGCATTTTGGGGCTAAGACGGCTGTTCACCACTCAGTGCTTAATTGTTCTCTAAATAAGCTTAAATAGCAAGGCATTTGACTGAAAGCCAACGAGTTACTTTACAAATTATTAAGTCACTTATTGCAACTTTTATACAGGTTTCATTGGGGAAAGGCCAGTCCAATTCAGGGCTCAAAAGGCTATCCTTGATGACTGAAATAAGTCAGGCTGATTGCTAAACTGTCACAAATGACTACTTTTTCACTGATTTGTTTCTGATGACAGTTGGTACAGCATTTGGGACTCTAGGAACAGACATGCAAATGTAAGGTAAAGGTTATAAATGCTTTCAAAAAGGTCAGTTTGGGACAACACAGTTTTAATGAGGCAAACAACTGCCTCCCTCTCCCTGCGTAAATATGTCCATCCTTGGACATTGGAACTGTTTTGACATAAACAGATTGTGTCTTATCTCTGTTGAGGGCTCTGTGGGATGTTTCTTCACGTGCTGCCCCCGCCTGCGACTAATAATAGATGGGTGAAAAGATCCTGGGGAAAAATGTGAGCATTGTTGTTTTAAAAAGATCTTTCTCTGAGGTTTTGAAATGCCCACCAATGTGACAGGGAGAGAATAAAAGAGAGGGGGGGGGTAAGGCTACATATTAGAGAGACTCTTGAGGGCGTGAGGTATATCTCTTGGGGCGCTGCATCCCTGTTTCTGGAAGCTGGGCTACTCACTGTCATGGTGGGAGGCACACAATTTCCCTACTGGATAAATTTTGCTATACATCCCCTATGTATGGGATAGAGAGTGGTCAGCTTCAGAGGCATACTCATGGATACCTCTGCTGTGGGGCTGGCTTAGGTTTGCCTCAGTGACATGCCCAGATTCACCCTCAGTTCTGTCCCACATCACAACAACCCATCGTCTCTGTCACAGACACCACAGCCGGTCTACATTATACTGTTCTGTCAGCGGGGGGCGGGGGGGAGAGAATGCTAAAGCTTCTGCTGAACTGGTTTCATTTATTTGAAAGACTCAGAAGCCTCTGTGCTGTAAGGACTATAGATCTATAGCTGTAAGATCGAATCCACGTGATGCAGTGAGCGCCCGTCGCTTGTCCCAGCTCCCGCCAACCTAGCAGTTCGAAAGCATGCGAACGCGAGTAGATAAATAGGGAAGGTAACAGCGTTCCATGTCTAAGTCGCGCTGGCCATGTGACCACGGAAGATCGTCTTCGGACAAACGCTGGCTCTATGGCTTGGAAACAGGGATGAGCACTACCCCCTAGAGTCGGACACAACTGGACAAATTGTCAAGGGTAACCTTTATCTTTACCTGCCTTGCCTTGTCTCAGCTATTTAAGGTAAGGGAGGACAACCGGTATAAACAGGTGAATTAAGTTAAATCAAAACATGTTAATGAAAGATGTTTTAAAAGCATCCTTGCTCTTCTGTACATGAAGGGTTTTTGACCCAGCAGAAAGGGAGAATGTACTATTTAGCCATTTCTCCTTCCCATTGCTCAAATCACCATACTGTTCTGCACAGTCCGCAAACCATGTGGCACAGATTTTCAGGGAGCGCGAGATGGAGGGGTGGAGAGCCAAAATGGGCACCCCCCCTCCTTCTGCCAGCAGGCACATTGCACAGTGTTCTGCGGGACTTGCTCTTCCAAATAAAAGTCTCACGCCACATATGGCAGGTAGGTGGAAACATTGCCCCTCACCTTCTTTTGCATGTTGCCATCCCATGGGACTGCTCAGAGACAAGCACAGCCTAGAGAGAAAGGAATGGACAAAGCGAAGCCCTGGGCCACACTGGCTCCTTCAAGGCTGTGTTTAAATGGCTCCTAGCCCTGTCAGGCTCTCCACTCTCTCCAAAACAGCTTTTCACAGCAGAACAGAACTTTAAAAAACCCATACAAAACAAAAAACCACCACCTCACCAGAAGAAGCCTTTTGAAGAGGCCACAGGAACTCCCTGCAGTGTTTCATACATACACACTATAGTCATTTTGCAGAAACTGGGCCCATTTCCAGTTCTCTGGCCTCCCATTTTTTTCCACAATTTTGACAACCCATGCACTTACTGGAGGATCCCAGGGACAGAAAATTGGCCTCTCTGACCCACTGAGGTTGACCATCCTGCTACAAAACATGGTTCTTTCCTTTTATTCTGCTTCTGCGACAGATGGACAAAATGGAGGTAATAACCAGGAATCTTCAAGTCCCCTCAGACATTAATGAAAAATCAGTGGCCTGATTCCAAGTGCCTTCTTTTCCAAGACCAACTTTTCAAATAGGTAACTACCAAAATGTAAGCAAAAGGTTAATGGATAACCGAAGTATTGACTTACAAGGAAGTTCATGGCTGGTTAATGTATATTTAGTTGGTGCTGTTTGTATCTTTACAACTTTGGATCATAGCTGCACATGGTGACACAGCATAAAATGTAGCCATAGTCTAATGGAGTGAAGATGGGCTTTTAATGATTCACACAAATCTCACTGAAAAATATGTTGAATACTTAAAAACCTTCCTATGCATCAATACTTCAGTTATTCACCAGCCCTCCAGTTAAGACCAGGCCATCCATAGGCAAAAAAATAATTTATTTAGAGAAGCCTTTTATAGGTAACCTGGGTGGCTGTAAAAATAAGTGTTTAATTTAAGAAGGTGCTGCCTTAACATTTTTAAAATATTTGATTGTTACAATTAATTTCTTTTTATATTTGTGTTTAGAGGTTGAAGAGAACGGATAAATGATGAATAGATAAATAACATATTGGCCCAAGTCCTCTTGCCTAGCAACACAGATGTAAAAAGTTTTAACTTTGGCACTTTGTCTCTAAATTATTCTGTTGGTATTATGCCGGGCTATGGATGTTTTGGGTTTTTTTTTTTACTACAAATCCCATACTTCTCCATTATAGGAGTTCTGCCTGTTAGACACCTTAATGCAGTGATCCCCAACCTTTTTAATACTAGGGACCGGTTTTCTTGAAGACCATTCTTCCAAGGGCCGGTAGGGTGGGGGGGCGGTGGGCTGCCGCCACCAGCATCTGTGAATGGGGGCATCTGTGCGTGGGGGTAATTGTTATGCAGTACTGTAGTATGTTATGCATTAAGCACCATTTCCCATTGAAATGCATGGGAACAGGATTAATCCGTTCCAGCAAAATAAATAAAATAAAAATAAACAGAGCAAGTCCCATGCTGGGACTAAGAAAAAAAACCACCACAAATCCAAAAACAAAACAAAAAAGCACAGAAAAATAGCCCCCAGTCCAAACCCCACCCAGAAGAGTTTTTAAAAAGGAAAAAGCAGCATTTTATCAGTCCAAAGCCTCCTCAACCTCGTGGACTTCCATAGCTGCTGCTGGGAGGCCTCCGGCAGGCCTCCCACACTTCTACCACTGCCTGGAAAGTAAGCAGCTTTGACGGGCCCAGCGGCGGAACGTAAGAGCCCGGGAAATTCAAATGGCCTCCCCACTGGGCTCTGTCTCCAACTGCTGGGTCCATCCGCGGGGGTGGTGGAAACAGTAGCCTTCCCCTGGTACGACTGCACTGCAAACATGCAGTTCCTGATGGACGTACATTTAGACTGGCTTTTCGGGGGTGTTGGTGGAGGTGGGGGCGGGGGGCGGAGGCTGTAATATCCTTCCTTCC